TTTTTTTTTTTCAACGTTTATTCATTTTTGGGACAGAGAGAGACAGAGCATGAACGGGCGAGGGTCAGAGAGAGAGGGAGACACAGAATCGGAAACAGGCTCCAGGCTCTGAGCCATCAGCCCAGAGCCCGACGCGGGGCTGGAACTCACGGACCGCGAGATCGTGACCTGGCTGAAGTCGGACGCTTAACCAACTGCGCCACCCAGGCGCCCCTAGGGCTGGCTTTTAAAAGATAGGGCAATGACTTCTTTCTCTTCTTGGTCTGGGGCCTACAAGCATGTCTTGTATGTATGTAATATCCTGTCATGGTAGGGAAGTGATTTGACGGTCTTCAGTTCGAATCCCAGTTCTGTCGCTTGGCTGCAGGTTCGTTAAGCTCTCTAAACCTTAGCTCATCTGTAAAATGGGGATTATGGTAGCATCTCATGCCTCTCTTTTCAGGAATAAACCGAGGTAATGTGTGTGTCTCCCAGCTGTCAGCTGAGGCATCCTGCCATTTGATATTAAAGTGAACCTGGCATTCTCATCTCCTTTCCTTCTTTGGTGGAAGTCCTGGCTACTCCTGGCATTTCTCAGGGATCTGGGTTGAGATGCTGGGAGGAGATGCCTTACTGTTTCCTTTCCTAATCCCTCTGGCTCTGAATTTTTATTTAAAAAAAATTTTTTTAATGTTTATTGATTTTTGAGGGAGAGAGAGCACTGGGGGTGGAGGGAGGGACAGAGAGAGGGGGAGACACAGAATCTGAAGCAGGCTCCAGGCTCTGAGCTGTCAGCACATAGCGTGATGTAGAGCTCGAACCCACAAACCTTGAGTTCATGACCTGAGCCAAAGTCAGACGCTTAATTGACCGAGCCATCCAAGTGCCCCTCTGAACTTTTACTTTAGAAGAATTAGTTCATTTTATGGATCTTCTTCCTATGCCATAGTCTGTTTCTGTTCCAACTGTAATGATTCAGACATCTTAGCCCAACTTCCTTCCCTTGCTGTCCATAGAATCCACTTATACAAGGTATTTGTGTGTCTAACAACAGACTTTACAGAAAATCTGGGATCTAGATGGCATTGGTATTCTAGTGAGGAAAACAACTTAAAATTGAATTTTAGACATTATGAAGTTCCTGGGTCATTGTGTCTGGAACATTATCATGTTCAGTTCAGAGCCAAACCCCTCCTTCCCTCCTCCTCTCCCTCCCTTCCTCCCTCCCTTCCTCACAACTAACTTATCTCTAATGGTCCAGCTTCTGTGCAAGGTGCCAGTGCATGGTAGTAAACAAAACTGCTATGATTCTTGCCCTCATGAAGCTCATAGCTTAGTTAAGAATAATTTCTACAGAACTTTTATATTTTCTTCTATATCTTGGCCTTAGGGGTTCTATGTACTTTGCTTTTCCCCTACAGATGCTTGTAAGGGCTTCCCAAGGTGCTACATCACATAAATAAAGGGTAAGCTTCTCTACATTGTTTCATATATGAAGCTTATTTACATTACAACTATGATAAAAACTGAAAACACAACCAACCTCTGGGATATTTGGCTTTAAATCTAGGAGACCTAAAGCTTATAACAGTCAAGGGAAAGTGTACTAGTAATCGGTTGAATGGCAAGAATGGATGGTTGACAAATTGGGGTACAGACCCAGACTGGTGCCCTCTAAAACTGCTCTATGCATTCAGAGGAGGTAGGCTCTGCGATCTGACCTTAGCCTTGGTAAATATCTACTTGTTCTCTTGATATTTTTGGAAACTATAGCTTATGCTTAGGAATTTATAAATGCCTTCATATCTGAAGGGCCTTGTGTTAGCTTTCATGGGGATAGGATCCTTATTTAATAAGATCGCTTGCTCCAACGTCTTTGATATGCTCTATTCTCCCGTATTTAACAGCCTGCTAGGCATTTCCAGAAATATGTCTTCTAATAAAATTCAAAGAAATTTTCAAAACTCAAATTGGTCATAATGTAGTTTATGAATTAGGGATATGATTTGTGTTGCACGCTTCAGATTATGCAACAATTGTGATCAGGAACCAACTCCCATTAGCACAGGCGAAGAGCTATTATAAGCAAATACAATGGTTTTGTGGAAGTTGTTCTGCGCTTTACTGTGGAAATGGAAAATAAAAGGGACAATGCAGCATCCGAATTGTGCTAATGGTAGTTCTAGTGCCCCTGGAAAAAGGCAGGTGATCCTCTGGAACAAGAGCTGGGTGGGGTCAGGTTAGGATTTGCTTAGAGGTGTTTTGATTTCATAGCCACAAACTTTCTACCATAAAACAGTTTACCATTGAAATTTCTTCAGAAAAATTGGCTTTATCAGCTTGGATCTGAATGTCTAGCCCTTAACCCCTATTTTCCCTCCATTAAACATCTTAATACAAGTTTTCTTGGGAACACATCAATTGCATCATGGCAGAGAAGACCTACACAACTAAAATGAGATATTCTTGTACAAAAACTTCTCATTATATTCAGTCTTGCCTCTTGGTTAACGCTGCCACTATCTTCCAAGTGACCTAGGATGGAAATCCCATCACCACGTTTTACTTCTCTTTTCCCTAGTTCCACACGTTTGATTCCTTAGAGATGGAATAGTTCTTAGCATTTCCTCTATCCCTGCTTGCAACGGGCAGTCATACCTTACACTCCAGTAGTGCATAAGCCCCTAAGTGATCCCACTGTTTCTCTGTCCTCTCAGGACGGTGTACCACATCTGTCCATATTAGCTTGCCAAGGCCTCCATAACAAAATGTCATAAACTGGGGAGCTTGAACAACAGAAACTGATTGTCTCACAGTCTGGAGACTGGTTGCCTAAGATCAAGGTGTCAGCAGGATTCATTCCTACTGAGGCCGTGAGGGAGAATCTGTTCCATT